TTTCCCATACTTGTATGCAACTTTTATGCACCAGAATTCCCATACATGAAACCAAACTTCTAAGAAATAAAACCACACATTTTGAATTTTGGACTGATGAAAACTTTCCGCGAAGTCTCTCTATAGTACTCTATAACGCAATTAACATCTACTTCTCCATCTCTCTGAATTTATCTACATGCGGTATCAAACGCCTCACCATACACACATTTGGACACTACTAACAATTATAAAAACCAGATGTTGGGCTTCCTATATTATGTATTACAAGTTATTAAGTGACATATATTGAGTTTCCTAGTTTCTGGGATTACAGTTGTATGGGATTTGTTTCCTATAAGATAATAATTATAACTCTATAAATCTCTGGTAAACCAAACTAATCACTATGAATGAGATTGGTTTATCCTCCGTAGATATAGGCACCATTGCCAAACCATGTATATGTTGTGTTGATCTATTTCTCTTTATGATTTTTGCATGTGTATGCAGATGTTTACATAATAATAATAAAAAAATCGTTGTTATCAAATCCCTCCCTAGCAGAGCCGAAAGGGGTGTTTATGTTCTGGGCTTCCGTCAACAAAGAGACCTCAAAGAATAATTTTCCAGCCGATTTTGCACCTTGAGGCCGTTGATTTGCACCTCAAGGAAATAATCTCCAAGCTGTTGTTTCACCTTGAGACGTTGATTTGCGAACTTTTTTTCGGAATGCAAAAGGTTGCATTCCATGCACCCCAAGTTAACGGTGCTTTTTTGATCTCCTTGAAGAAACGATGCTTCCTTCCTCTTTCTATGAAAGGCTATTTGTGCAAAAGGTTATATGAATTGCTATTTGTTTTAGTCACCGGCTGTTTGGTCCGTGTTGAGCTATGCACTTCGGCGATTTCTACATAGAGAAACCATAATATTTATTGAGATCTTCGGTTAATTCTAATTAAGACGTCCTCTATTTTTTATTCGTCATTCATTCTGATCAGGTCAGTCTTTTAGTTCCCATTATCTTTTATTATGGTGGATTCAGAAAATAACACTAGCATGAAACGTATGATTGTTCTTTTGAATAGACTTGATTATCTTACTTGATCGAAAGTTGTCTATCATTATCTCTTTGGAAAATTTAAACTTGAGTACATAACTAGGAAGAAAATCATGAATCTTGATTTAAAAACCTTTGAAGAAAATATTGAAAAAATTTTAATGGTTGCTAATATTGAGAAATATGAAACAAAATGGCCTCAAAATAATGATGGAAGCAAAGGCCCTAACATTTATCACGATGGTAGAATAGGTCGTAGTAATAGATGGTGTCCTAGATGTGGTCATTGCAATAATATAGGACATGCGAAGGATAGGTGTTAGATATTATACCCACACTTATGGTCTATTAATAATAGGACAACCAACAGATTTATCGCTCAGACTGCAACAACTCAAACGCATCACTGTAACTGTGATCATTATCAACAACCAAATAACAATATTGATTTTTCCTTCACACAACATCCTTCTTCTTCATTTCCTAACACAGGTAAAATTATGCTATCATGTCTTCCTGTGGTACTTTTCCTTGGATAATAGACTCAAGGGCCACAGATCATATGACTAGTAACTTATAATGTCTATCCAACCTAAAAACTAATGAAAATATGAATCATGACTCTATTGTTAATGGTTCTTTGATTCTTGTCCATGGTGTTGGTCAAACAAAATTCTTCTCCAAGTTTCATAACACTGAAGTATTTTTTATGCCATCATTTTCTTCGAACTTGATGATTGTTAGTAGAATTACTCAGAGCATGAATTGCAGTGTTATTTTTTCTCCCAACTCTATGACTTTCTAGGACCTGACCATGGGGAGGACGATTGGTGAAGGAATATTGTCTCATGGACTATATTTATTTAATCAGGAGAATAAGGATTTGGTTATTAGTCAAAGTAATTTTGATATTAATAAATTGTAGCAATGGAGATTTGGACACCCTTAAAATAAAGTTTTGAAAATCTTAATGCCCTCTCTATCTTTAAACTCTCATTCTTGTGAAGTTTGCAAATTCTCAAAGCATACAAGACTTCCTTTTCAATCTTCTATGCATGTTTCAAATGAACATTTTTATTTGATATATTTTTCTGTGTGGGAACCAGCCCCAGTTGATTATTATACTGGATTTAAATATTTTGTTATTTTTATTGATGATTAGTCTCATACTACTTGGGTATATTTGTTGAAATAAAAAACAAAAGTTTTTTCTATGTTTAAAGAATTTTTCTAAACTGATTTCCTCTCAATCTAATGGGAAGATTAGAATTCTAGAAACTGATAATGGCACCGAGTATGTAAACAGAGTTTTTTCTGAGCATTTATATAATCTTGGTATTATACACCAAACATCATGTGTTAGAACACTTCAGCAGAATGAAGTTGTTGAAAGGAAAAATAGACACATTTTGAAAGCTACAAGGACTTTGATATTTTAGATGCATGTTCCAAACATTTATTGGTCTGAAGCAGTTTTAACTGCTTGCTACCTTATTAATGGGCTTTCGAGTAAAATTCTTAAAGATAAATCTCCCCTTGAAGTTTGTAAAAATAGAAAAATTGATTTGCCTCATTTGCATGTATTTGTATGCATGTCTTATGTTAATGTGGTTATGCACAACCAGGATAAACTTGATAAATATTCCACTAGATCTATCTTTATTGGATACTCCTCTACTAAAAAAGGATACAAATATTATGATCCCACAATCAGAAAAATGAATTTTTTCAAAGATGTTCAATTTGTTGAATGGAGTCCTATACATTAGAGAGTGGTTTTGAAAATATGACTTAGCAGGAGTGTTCCAGAAGTTGTTTGCCCTTAACTAATATTAATATCAATAATACGTCCAACACACCCGGAACAATTCATAATGATCAAGCTGAAGTTGAAGATACCTATGAAATTCACTAAATTGATTTAGCAGAAAAAGACTCCTTTATGGCCCCAACTAATCCCCCATTGCACAGGTTTTCTTTTATCTCTCAACCCTCTTTTCGACTTCAAGATTTTTATACTTATTATGTAATTTTTTATCATATTCAAAATTATATTTCCTATGAAAATATATCTCATAACTTTTTTTTTTTTTTAGTTCTATTTCTAATAATTCTGAGCCAACCAATTTTTAAAATATTATTTTTTAACTTGTACGGAGGAAGGTCATGAAAGACGAACTTCAAGCACTTGACAAAAATCATACTTAGGACATTGTCAAGTTACCTAAAGAGAAGAAAACAATTGGATGTAGATGAGTTTATAAGATCAAATATAATAATGAGGAGTCTGTTGAAAGACACAATGCCTGGAAATGATTTACCCAAACTTATAGAATCGACTATAAAGAGACTTTTGCATAAGTTGTCAAGATAAATATTGTTCGTATTTATTTGTCTATCGTAGTTAATTGTTAGTGGTATCTGCATAAGATCGATGTTAAAAATGCCCTTCGTACATGATGACATTGAAGAAATCTATATGAGTATTCCTCTAAGACATTTAAAGAAAAAGGAGAAATGTCTTATATGCAAATTAAAAAAGGCTTTGTATGGACTTAAACAATCACCTCGCGTATAGTATGTCAAACTCATTTCAACTTTTATGAGTGTCGGGTTTCTTAGAAGTACAATTGATTCTTAAATGTTCACAAAAATAGGAACTTCAGGTACAACAGTTGTACTTATTTATGTTGATGATATTATCCTTACAAGTAATGATAAAGAAAGCATTATGAAGCTTAAAAATTATCCTCACAAGAAATTTGACATTAAGGATCTTGGTTAACTAAAGCATTTTCTAGGCATTGAAGTAACACGTTAAGAAAATTGACTCTTCATTTCTTAAAAGAAATATGTATTAGATTGTTGAAAGTAACTGGAAAACTGGGACACTCCTATTGATAATAATTACAAGTTCAATTCAACAAATGAAAAACCTCTTGAAGATGTGGACTTGTTGGGGGATTGATTTATTTGACTGTGATACAACAAATTATAATGTATGTATATTAGTCTTGTAAGCCAATTTATGCATGCTCCGAGATCATGTCATATGGAAGTTGTCAATAGGACTCTCCTATATCTTAAGTCGTCACCCGACATAGGTGTTTGGTTCAAACTGAATGGTCACACTAATATTATGGGTTATTCTGATGCTGACTGGGTAGATAATCCAATTGATAGGAGGTCAACTACCGGCTATTGTATACTGGTCGAAGGAAACTTAATTACTTGAAAAAGCAAGAAACAAAATGTAGTTGCTTGATCTAGTGCAGATGTCGAATATATAACTATGGCTTCAACTAGAAGTGAATTGATATGGCTAAAATACCTACTTCGAAATATAGGGTTCACAACGGTCAATCCAATGGAGATGATCAAGCAGCTATGCATATAGCCTTCAATTTAGTTTATCATGAAAGAATCAAGCACATAGAAGTTGATTGTCACTTTGTAAGAGAAAAACTTCAATAAAAAATTATTAGCACTCTTTATGTTCAAAGTGAAGACCAACTAGTAGACATATTTACCAAAGCTATTGCAAGACAAAGTTCCATCAGATATTGTCCAAGTTAGGCTCTATTGATATCTACGCACCAACTTGAGGGGGATTGTTGACAATTATAGAAACCAGATGTTGGGTTTCATATCTTGTGTATTACAAGATATTAAGTTTCTTATATTGAGTTTTCCATTTTGTGGGATTACAATTGTATGAGATTTGTTTTTTAAAATATTATAATTGTAATTTTATAAATCTCTGATAAACTGAAGTAATCCGTATGAATGATACTGGTTTACCCTCCGTAAATTTAAACACCATTACCGAACCACATATATGTTGTATTGATCTATTTCTCTCTCTTCTCCTCTCGTCTCTATTTCTTTTACTGCAACTTCAACGCATTAGTAACCCATGGTTTTGTACCATGGACACTTCAACACATTTGAACCATGGGCATCAACCCAAAATGGTTTTACTTCTGAAGACAATTCTCTGCCTCGTTTAAACAGGAAGGAATCTCATTGTTAATGAAACCTTCTCTACAAATGGCTGAGAATGCCATCTAGAGAGATTCAAATTACATATTTCCATCGAAACAGTTTCTTAATAGTTAACAAGGATTTATTGTTAATTAAGACAATTGCCAAAGGCAAAGCTAGAAAGCACTGAGAGGAGTTGCTTCCAAAAGCAGATGAGATTTTCGATGCACAACGAGCCCAAAAGCCTCAGCCATGTCCAGATCATTTGGGTTCAACCCATCCGGCAGTCCCCACTCAAAATGGAGCAAGAGATTCGCCAATGTGAGCTCTAAGACAGTCACTCCAAATGAGAGCCCTGGGCAAACCCTCCGGCCTGCACCGAAGGGAATTAGTTGGAAATCTTGGCCCCTGTAATCAATGCTACTATCCATGAACCTCTCAGGCTTAAACTCTTCGGGGTCTTCCCAAGAATCTGGGTGTCTGCCGATTGCCCAAGCGTTAATTAAAACCCTAGTTTTTGCTGGAATATGATAGCCCTCAATTTCACAATCCTCCATTGATTCACGAGGAACCAGCAATGGACCTGGAGGGTGCAGGCGCATAATCTCTTTCACCACTGCTTTCAGATACTGGAACTGGTGCAAATCGGTTTCCTTTATTTTGTTGATATGATTGCTTTTGACGATCCTTCTTACTTCTTCTTGGGCTTTTTGCATCACTCTGGGATTCTTCACGAGCTCTGACATTCCCCATTCTAGTATTGCAGAAGTCGTATCTATCCCTGCTCCAAACATATCCTGCAAATATTTCCATTTCATTGTCAATCATAGGAATCCTTAATACTTAAATCACAACGACTGATTACTAAGAAACAGTATGCATATATGCCTGTTTTAAACATGGGTCTGTGGGGTCGATAGCCCCGCATCGTAGTGGTTTATATAGGTTATCTTGTCAGAATTGGACCAGAAATTGAATTAATAATTTAAAATTTAAAAAATCACAGAAAAAAAAAAATGGGAAATTTACATATGGATCGGTTTTTAATACGGTCATAATAAAATGGCCCGAAAATAGGCCTTTATTAAATAAGAGGTTAGTGCACAAGGTCCTTCATATAAAGTTGTCCGGATTAAGGAATATTTTTACATCAATTAGTTCGCCAATTGGTGTGAAAAGATGCACTAAGGCTAATTGGTATAAAAATATTATCATATTTAACCACATGAGAGAATTTTTCATAAGAAAATGTTTTTAAAAAATATTTTCACACGAACCAAAAAATGCCGTAAGGTTGCACGTCAAAAATCCAGTAGAAAAGAGCATTCCGAAGTTGAAAAACCTTCCAATTGATCATCTCCACCTCAAGATGTGTAGATTTATAAAGAAAAAAAAAAAAAATTAAGTCCTAAATATAGTGAATCTTGCAAAAAGTTATTTAAAAAATTTATTTTCAAGATTTTTAATTATTTATAAACCAACTTTAACTGCATCATTTTTAGAATTTAATATTTCATTTTCAAGCCATCAAAAGGTTTCTGACACCTAAACTACCAAATTTAGAGGTGTGTTTTACTTCTATATATTATAAGGTGGGCACTTTATACAAACCTTACCGTATCTACAAACCTTACCCTATATAGAAATGTTATATTTTAAGTATACCATTGGAATGGTAGTCATCCTATGTTATGTAGGTAACTTTGAGGTTATATGTATTCTTTTATTTGCATGGCTTTTAAGCAAGAAAATTTATAGGAAAACGAAAAAATAAATGAAAGATTATAATATTCCACATATTTTCCCCAATTTTATATAGAAGCCCTATCCTTTTGCCTTTTTTCTATTCCTGTATTTCCCCAAGTCCAATGTTGTAAATGTGGGGCCAGTTTTTTATTCTTCATATTTTTATATTTTTTACTGTAGGGATATTTAATACATTGGGGGTCAATATGCAGTCGGTTTGATATTTTAAACATTAGATTGCCCTAAAGTTGCACAGTTTGATGTCTCAAACATTAAAAGACCTCTGCTCCTCAACCCTTGTTTGAGTTCAAAATATCGAACTGACAACTTAGCCACTTTCTTTTCTTCTAGAAGAGGGTTCAATGTCCCAAATATTGGACCAGTTACTTTAAAGAGGTTGTCCAATATTTTTAGCATTGGACCATCTTTAAATAAAAAATAAAAAAAAAGACTAAGGGGTCAGTCCTCAACCCTATATTTTGAACATCGGACCGACCCAAAACAAGAGATGACGATTACTATATAAATTTCCTGATATTTGGGACATTTAACAACTAAGACTTTAGGAGAGTTTGAAATTTGAAGCATCGACAGACCCCTAATTGACCTCCAAGCTATCCAACAATCCCATAGTTAAAAACAATAAACATAATGTAAAAAAAACCGGTAGGATTCCCCCAAAATCAAATGTGATAAAACTAGAAAATAAAATAAAAACGAGCATACAGGTACGGCCCACCCAAATTGCCAATTAATGGACCAGTTATGAGTTACAACCCAAGTACCAAGTGCTCGGATTATAAGGTACAAGTCCTAATATCTCGGCCGTTTAGGTACGGCCCGAGTTTTTGAACCCTTAGATGCACTTCCCAATTTTGCCTTTCGCTCCATCTTTAAATGGACTGTCTCTAAAGAGACCATTTATATCTTGTATATTGAACCCGGAGGTCTTAATTATTCTCACACGTTAGATGTTAAATTAGATGGTTTAGAGTGAGTAACGAAGGTAGATATTTATTTTTTTAAAAAAAAAAAAATTGTATTTATTTAATGACATTCTTACATTCACTCATTTTGAAATTTAAGGGGTTTAAAAGACAATAATGATTATAATATCAATGTAGAAAAGATAAATGATCATTCTATAAACAATCCCTTATTTATAAAAAAATGTGATATAAAGTTGCCACCACCCTTTGTTGTTTTTTTTGATATAAAGTTGCCACCACCAACAGTGGGTTTACAACGTCAAAAACCTCAAGCAAAGTTTTTTATATGTTAACGTAGAATTAAGGTGCACCTCTCAAATCCTTTGTAGTCTTAATGTTAGAAAAACTTTTAATTGATTATCTTGATATTGGAGATGTATATATATGGAGAAAAAAAGATATTTTAAAGCTTAAAAAAAGTCAATCTTACAACACGTTATTTGGATTGTTCATATTCAAAATTTTAATGAGTTTATAGATTTGCTTGATTTGAACTATTTTTGGTGTCTAAAATATTATAATTAGATATAGAAATAGATTATCGCACCATCCTAAGAACTTTTTATACCAAATTGTATCTTATGAAAAAATTTGGAGATACACCTTAATTAGATGGTTTAAGGTTGCAACTTTATGCAAACCACACCCTTAACATATTTTTTGCTTACAAACAGTACACATTTGAACTCGAGTGTGGAAAAAGTTATAATAAGTTTGACTACTTAAATTGTAGAATTAATGAACACCTCAATAGTGCATTAGAAAAGGCTATTTTGATATTGACAAACCATCTACTTAATCATCTCCACATCAAGATATATGGATGTAGGAAAAAAAAAACATTTTCAACTCCCAAATATAGTAGAACATCTTGTAGCATATTATTTGAACATTCTATTTGAAGATCTTCATCTATTAATAAATTTGCTTGATTTGAACTATTTTTGGAGTTTCAGATTTTATAAGTAGGGACAAATTATATTATTGCGTCATTCTAAAAGTTTTTAACACAAAAATTGCATCTTATAAAAAGTTTGCATATGCACCTTACTTTGATTATTTAAGGTTGCAACCTTATGCAAACCTCACCCCTAAAGTTATAGATTACATGAGCTTCTTAATGTTAAATTGGATTAGTGTTTCGAAAAACTCATGTTTTGGAATAGTAATTTAGAAGAAAAGTATTTCTTTTGATAAAATCAAGGTTTTCAAAGTTGGTAATCCATATCGGAATTAGTTGACATGGATTGAGAATCAGGCAAGCAAATCTAGGTCCCACTAAATTTGGGAACCGGCTGGTTTCCCTTATTAACCGGCCGGTTTTGGCTTGGTCCCACTTTATTTTTTAATACTTTTTAATTTTTTATTTTTATTTGCTGTTTTATTAGGCCAGATCATCGATCCGAACCGATCAAGACCAGTTTTCTGGAGGGCTCCGGGTAACCGAACCGTGCTTTTAAACCCTGGGTAGAATAGCAAAATCCACAAGTGCTCCTCCTAATATGACATAACGGAAATAAGGCGTGCCATGTTCAAATCGCATTCATTTAGAAATAGTATATCATGCTGCTTATAGTATATTGCAGTATTTTGAATTAACATTAGCCGTCCATTGTCAACAATGAACAGCTGATGATGCTCGATCAGTCACACTATTCAAGTATGTAGTTAGCCTAGGGAAAGAGCCAGGGCTTAATCAATGAGGTTGAGGTTGTCGTGGTGTTACTACTTGAACTTCAACTATCTGTCTAAGTTTTCATTCTCCCGATGCATTCGAAAACCGTTAATTATTTTTAAAAATAGGTAGGGGCATATATTCTTTACTGATCTATCAGAAAAAAAAAAAAGCCATGCTTAATGGGAAGGGGCTAGAGTAGTGGACACTCTAGTCACCACATTGTAGTTTCCATTCCCATCATTTACATTTTCAAAAAGCAAATTGTTAATCTACTTTCCATTCCCATCACTAACACTATGGTACTAACACTTTTAAAAAGCTTCCCATCACTAACACTATGGTACTAACACTTTCAAAAAGCTAATTCCTAATCTGTTTGAAAATATGAATGGAAGCTTGTCTTTTCTACTGAATTACTTAAAAAAATAAAAAATAAAAAATATCGAAACTTAATTGGTTAGCGCCTGACAATTTATAACACTACATCCGACTCAATTCCTATAAAAAACAAGGGCCCACTGCCCACTGACTCTTCAATTCTTATAAAAAACAAGGGCCCACTGCCCACCGACTCTTCAATAAAAGATAGAGTCGAGCCCTAATTAGTTAGTGCTCGACCCAATTCGTATAAAAGGCAAGTGCCCACTCCCCACTTACTCTAAAAAAAAAGCCAGAGTCGAGCCTTAATTAGTTAGTGCTTGACGATTTCCCATGGTAAGTTCAATTCCAAAGGCCCTCTCACCACATAGAAAAAAACAAAAGCATGTACTACACTCCCGCCATTAGCAAAGAATGACCAAACAACGAATAATGTTTTCAATAATATTCTAACCGTTCCAGGGGACAACTTTGTTCACATTTAAAAGGATTAAAAATACCTATTTTTGTTAAAAAATTAATTAAATGATATAAAAGTATACATGATTTAAAATTATATTTTTATATCATTTATATACTTTTTTTGATGATTTGAGAAGTTTTTTCTCGTTATTTTTTTTATTTTCTTAATATTTCAATATATAAATCATAATTCCAATAATCCAATTTTTATATACTGTGTTGGACTTTTATGGATTTCTAATGAGTTCTAATACTTATTTTATTTTTATTATTTAAATTTTTTTTAGCAAATTATGTATATTTTTTATTTGTTTTTAACCATTTTGTCTTATATGCTACTTGCTTGAGTCCACTCAAACCCACTTGAGTCCACTCAGACTCCGCCGAATTACTCAGCTCGGGTTAGAGATGAGTCTGAGGCCTGAGCCAAATTTAAAAACATCGCCCATCATAGAATTCAAATTGTACATGGCATAGGTATAGGGCTACTGGTCCACCTAAATCTAAGTTGTGGTCTAACCCAAGTGGGAAGACCTACAAGACCGGGAACAGGGACGGCTCCAAGATCAAGAGCGGGAACAGTGGATCGAAGTGTGATAGAAGCTCCAAGCATTTAGGGAGAGCACACGCTATGTAAAGCATATCTATCCCAGAGCTCGATCCTATATATGAAGGATCTCATTCCCAATGCTCATGGAAGCGAGATCCAATCTCACAAAGACTGCCATACCCACTTCTCATGGGATCTCAAACCCCAAATACACAAGGACCGCAATCCACATAAGTTGGGGTCCTCGACCCATAAATATAAAGGATCGCAGCAGTCCCAATGCTCATAGAAACTAGATCACATAACACGACGAATGAGATTCTCTCTTCCTATTGTGTTAAATATTTTAATTATTTTATTTCTTAATGTGATTTATACATTTTACATCTCTGGCAACAATATAGATAATTTATATCTTGATGTTTGGGATTAATACACGATGAGTATGGAGATCCACAAATATAGGTATCAAGATCCCAATAAAGATAGAGATCCATAAATAAAAGGATCGAGATCCTTGAATTGATGATCGCAATCCGAACATGATAGGGATCAGGATCCACAAGTATTTGGATCGAGCACTGATATAAGGTGGGATCAAGATCGTTACTATTAAGGAATCCAGATTCCACAGAAAGGGCGCGAGCTCCCTTAAAAAAAAAAGAGTTTCGGCCGAGATCCTAGCTTCGGAGTGCAGGATCTAAATTCCGGAGCCAAAACCATGCCCTCGAAGAGGGCTCCTAATAATCATGGTCTAGCCACTGGACCCGGCCGTTAAAGTTTGGGGGGTCCAAAAGTATAGTCCTCACCATCAGTTCAGTTCCGTATGAGTTTGGGTCAAGGACCTAACAGGGTCAAGTTAACCAAGGTTGGGTCGGATCTGGGCCGAACACCGTACCTTGTCAGGTGAGGCGATGGTTTCACCCATCCTTCCCCATTTGTAACTCTCATAAAAATAAGATAAAATAGTGATTACCATGACAACTGCTTTGATGTTGTCTCTTGTAAGAGGGAATTCAAGGGCGCCATCTTTTTGAAGCTGCAATAAAACATCTACCAGGTCTTTTTGATCATCCTTGATCTCCCCACGAGAAGGAAGAAGATGATCGTCAATCACTTTCTCAAGGAACGCATCCCTGATTGTAAAGCACTTGTCAAGCCTGCGTTTCAAACCAGTAACATATTTCACCCAATCCAAATATGGGAAGAAATCCCCCACAAAGAACCCACCAAACAAACGATCTGTTTGTGCCATCATCTCACTCAATTCAGAGCCATCTTCCCAATATCTCTTCCCATAAGCCACTCCGCAAATGACATTGCTAGAGAAAGAAAGGAACATCTCACTCAAATTCACTAGCTTTCCGGCCTTCGAACTTGAGGTGATAGTGTCAATCATGTGCCCCACTTCAGCTTCTCTCACTATGCGAAATGATTCCAGCTCCACCCGTTTCGCTCTGAGGAGCTCTTGAACACATATCCTGCGAACGTTCCTCCAATAGGGCCCGTAGGGGGCGAAAACTATACCAGAGCATTCATAGTGGAGGTGTCGAGGGGAGAGAAGAGCCGGCCTACTGCAGAAGGTGAGGTCATGAGTTTTCATGATTTCCTCTGCCATCTTTGCGGAGGAGACAACCAGGGTGGGGACTTGGCCCATTTTCAGGTGGATGAGGGGTCCATAGGTTTCAGCTAGCCGGGCTAGAGTGAGATGCGGCATCGAGCCGAGTTGGTGGAGGTTGCCGATTATGGGGAGCCCTGAAGGACCCGGAGGCACCTTCTTTTTGGTGCCTGACCTCTTCCACACCCAAAATAAGTGCAGAGAGAGTAAACAGAGAAGGAAGGTGTAGAGTATTGCAGCTGTTTGTTGGTCAGCCATGTTTTGTGCAGAAAGGGTTGGGTTCGCTCTATTGAGGCCTCAAGATCAGAGAATAGGTTGCGCTTTCGAATTGGGACCGGCCATTATATATGTGCTCTTCAAGAGAGAGTGAGATATTTTTGGAGGCTATAAACTAGAAATTCACAATGGATTTATGTTGGGTTTGGTGATAGCTAAATTCCGCACCCATATTTTTTTCTAAAGATTACGGCATTGTGGAAGGAGTAATGATCCAATGAGTCCCTCCCACACTTATGTGTATAGGACCCTAAAGGATCACTATTAAATTCAATACATATTTCTAGAAAAGTTATCACATGAGTGCGGGATTTGACTTGTTTAGAGATCTGTGTCAAATTTAATTATGATCTTTTGGAGTTCTACATACATAAATGTAAGAAGGTCTCATAGGATCATTACTCTTATGGAAAATAAAAAATTAATTTTTTTGAGAAGTAAGAAAGTGATATCTTTATAAGAGAATGAATAATGACATAATACACATCCTTTGAGGGTCACCCATTTAGGGGTTATGGGATCATTACTCTTATGGATCATTACTCTCAGAAGCAATATCTCATAGGATCATTACTCTTGTCTCCAAGAGATAGAGATACTGCTTCTGACAGAGAGGCGGTTTCCCATGAGTTTTGGATTGGTTAACTTCTACTTCTAGAAAGAAAAAATCTCTACGTTGCTCTTGAGGTTATCTTTCCAGTTACGGTATTGCGGTAGGAAAGATGATGTTGATCGACGGTGTTGCTCGGTCAGAAGAGCGAGTTTAGAAGGGAAGATCGGTGATAGTCTTTTACCAATGTTTAGAGATAGATATTATCTCTTGTAACCTAAAACTGTAATATTCATTGTGATAGTGGATTTCTAGTTGTCGAGGCCGTGGATGTAGCCCTACGGGGTGAACCACACAAATTATGTATTGTTGTGGAATGCTTTTTATATTTGCTTTATTTCTCGCACTCGATTTATAGGTGTATTCATCTACTTCGCATTTTATCAATTGAGCACACGATCTTAAGTGGGATCCCGTTATTGGGGATTCCTGGTTCTGCAAGCTAAGGGGTTCTTGAGAACCCTACAATTTCAAATACTATATTGACAATTATGCATGACAATATTTATGGACTTGAGAATGGGGTTTGGGTTTGGGGTTGGGGTTGGGGTTGGGGTTGGGGTCGGGGTCGAGGTAGTAGTACCACTTGTGCTCTAGTTAATGTCTAAGCTTCCATTCTCACCCAACATATTAAAAAACCACTAACAATTTCAAAAAACATGTAGGGTTTGTCATCCCCATGGAACTACCAAAAAAAAAAGTATTTATAAACTTAAAATAATACATGAATTCAAGGAAATATGATTTAATGGAGGATAGGAATAATGCAAAAGTAGACAAAAAAAAAAAAAAACCATTTGCTTTTGGCAATTGGAGGTCACAATCACTTTTTCCTTCAAATAATACATGAACCCACGGAAATTGATGGAGGATACGATTTAATCGAGGGTATGAATAATTGAAAAATATACAAAGCAACCATTTGCTTTTGGTAATTGGAGGTCACAATAACTTTTTTTTTCAAATAATAGACGAAGGATACGATTTAATGGAGGGTATGAATAATGGAAAAATGTACGAACCAACCATTTGGTTGTGGTAATTGGAGGTCACAACTCATGATCACTCTTGCATTTTAGTACAAAGAATATTTTATGAAGTCCATCACAACATAGAGGTTTGATGTGGTCCTATAGTTTTATCGATACAACCGGCTGTTCATTGGTCATTTTCTATTAAAGTCATGGTCTCTTTGTATGCATTTCAATTTTATAATGCCAGCAGTTTCTATAAGGCCTATGACCTATGAAAATAAAGTAAAAGCTCATTTTGAAAAGCACTTTAGATATCATAAATTTTCCATGATAGCTCTAAAATCAATTTTTAACCTTGACTATAAAATTTGAAGCTCACCAAATGATATAAATTATGTAGATCCGTGAACACTGATTTTTAGGGTGAAATGGAAGGTCTAGATAATGTGTTACAATATACACTATTTTTAGGGTTTGAAATCTTAAATTTTTTTCACAACCATAATGGACTGAGATGATCGATTTAGGTTTTCCAATGCCAAAACTAATTTTTTTAATTAGTTTTGAGGTGAGGCTTTACTTATTTTAATAGGGCTGCACCCTTTCAAAACATTTTCCTTTTATAATTCATAGATTTTTGCCAGGTTTATGCCTTTTCAATAGTATTTTAAGGGGCAATTTCGAAAATCACACTCATAAGGCTCTAAAGTTGGTGGAGAGGCCATATCTGGAGATGTCCGATGTTTGAAATGTCGGATAGCCCTAAATATGATTCAATTGCCCGACTATGATGGGGAAAGTATGTAGGTATTGGATCAAGGTCTAGAATCTCATACTGCATGTTCTCACAGGAAGATAGGGAGAACAAGCAGTTTGAAGTTCAACATGCCAAACTGCTTGTCGTTATTCTCCAATGCGATGTTTTTAAGCCCAGATCATTTGTTCTACTTTAAAATTAAGGATAACAAGACGTTCGAAATTTGAAATATAGGACAAACTATATCGAGAGCTATCCAAGGTTTGAAATATCGAACTACCTACGTCTCCAACAAAATAAAAAGTTAAAATATCAATTTCCACATCCGATGTTGTGAGTTTTGAACATTGGCGTAACTTGGGAAAAATAAAAAAGGAAAAAAGAAAAAGAAAAAAGTTTCTGAGGTGCTTTTCAAGAAAAGCACCGGTTCGATGTTGTAAATCTCAAACTAGCATCCTTACAATTAAGATTACTACAAAAGTGTATCTGACCATATTTTCTATAATAATATATAGTATACAAAGATTTTTATATTTATTTAGAAAATTATTAAAAATATACCTTAATTTTGAGCTAATACAAAAATACTTCATACTTTTCTAAATCTCATCTAATCATTTATTTCACTTTTCGTATTTTTTAACCAAAATAACCTTCACCTTTGTTGTACTTAAAATGCCATAATGAACATTAGATGTATCACGCTATTTAAAGTGCCTCGATGACATGGTACTTAAAAAACCATAATAGTTTTGTGGGATGAGAAAATCTAGCGGAAGGATTTGGATCCCCGCCTTCTTCCTGCACAACCCCAAAATTAAGCTCTGAAAAGGGTTTTATCTCAAAGAGTAAATCCCTTGATCTAATTCTGGAAACTGCTCCAAAAAGAGGGAGAGAGAGTACGGAAGACTTAACTGGGGGGCCACAAGTGCTAAGTGGCTTGGGAGGCAAAAGAGAGATGGCTTTAGAGAGAGAGACAAATTGCAAGTGGCGTGGGGACCAGAAGAGAGAGAATACAAGAAATATATTTAGCTGGAAATAGAAGTGAGAAAGGAGACAAAAAAAAAGGTGAAGGCACATGGGTGTGCAGGTTAGCGCGCCATTCACTGCTATACTTCTAACTTTCTATCTTTATTTTTGTTGGATTTTTCACCATTTTTTAAGCAACGTGATACATCTCTCGAATGATAACACTTTACGTATCGTAATACACAGAAAAATTATAAAAATTATACTTTAATTTTTATTTAATTAGAAAAATAATCAACTTTCATAAATTTCGTTCATATTTTTTTTTAGTTTTGGTAGTCTTTTTATCAAATTATTCTTCACGATAGTCGTATTACCGTGAAGGGTCTATCATTATAGTGCTTTACGTAATGTAATGCTGTATTTATTACGGTAATACGGCTACCGTGAAAGCTATTTTAGTAAAAAAAAAATGTCAAAATTGAGAAAAAAGGGTGTGAAAAAAGTTTATGAAAGTTGAAGGTTTTTATCAATTAAACGAAAATTAAAATATCTTTCTAATAATTTTCTTAATCATACATATAAAGTTCATTATGATATTTTAAGTACCGTGATGCCTCTAAACATTACTACACTGGCTATACCATAAAGGCCAAGGATATTTTAGTAATAAAATAATATAAAAAGTGGAAAAAAATGGTGTGGATGAAGGTTTAAAAAAGTATTGGGTTTTTTTTTTTTCCTAATTAGATCAAAATTAAAATATATTTACAATAACTTCCCTATCTGCTTTGAACTATTACAGCTTAAGACAAGGTGTTTTTATAGGTATTTTAAAATTAAATGAAAAGATATAAATAAACTGTCAAATCCTTCTTCTCTCGTCCATAAACTGATAATTTCCCTTTATTTGCATTTTATAGGGGTACAAGACTTCTCAAAGCTACTTTTGAAATGCCAATAAACATGTAGCTATATTTATTACATAGTGCCTATGTTTTTTTTCTTATTGTGTAAGAGTACTCTGATAAAAACAGAGATGCGATGTCCAAAAGGACAAAATTTGATGAGGCATGTATTAGACGTGCATCAGTCATTGTTTAGAAAACCGGCGAGTCAACTGGAAATCCTCTGAGCCGACTGAGCAAGGTCGGAAACCGGGGTCATTTTTGCCAGGACCAGGGCGAGTCACGGGCTACCGTATATTTATGCCCAAAAGCTAAAAAAAATGCGGTTTTCAGTTCTTTATTTGAGTATTTTTTATCAATAATTAATCCAATACTATTTTCCCTTTAAAATTAATTTTTTAACACCCATTGTTGGATCCAAAACTAGTTCATTTGAATCGATTTCGGATCTTGAAAAGAATTTGTCATAAAACAATTTTGTTCCTTCGACCGTAAACTTCAAATCGGCCATTCATCTGATTTCTCTCTCGATTCTAAGCAGAATCACTTAAAACTTGTTCCAAATTAATCGTGCTTAAGCCCTCATTCAAGACTACATCAATTTCTTGAATGGAAAATATAAATAAGCGTAATTTGTCTTTCTATGATATGATTTTGATTTCTTGATTTATGTATTCTACCTTTTCTTTTTTCTTTTTTTTTTTTACTATTTTTTATTAAAGAAAAAATTTATATTAGGGTGAGGTCCTAAACAATCAAATTAAGACGTACCTCAAAAATTTAGTTGAAGAGGTTTTTTCAATGCCCAAAAATTCTCAAATTGATCATCTAGACCTCAAGATGTATGAACAACAGAAATATTGG